TACACCATTCTTTGTTCAACAACATTGTTTCATCATCGTTGTTGACCAAAATTTTACAAACTTTTTATCTTCGTGCTTGGAATTCTCTCTCGGTTCGAATGCCACTAGGCCCGTCGCCAAAAACCACTACATGCGCCCTCGCATGCCATTTTTTATCGTCGATATGCCCAAGTCTTTCGCCGCCACTCTCACATGTGCCCTCACGCGCCCTTCAGTTGTCGCTCACGTCAGCCTGACGACCCTTCCTGCGTCCTCCGTGCGCTGTCCTGCTACTGTGCATCACTCGCCTTCTCTGCTCTCCTACGTCGTGCCTCCGTTCTACTTAAGTACGCCGCGCCTTCTGCTGACATCACCCACCCCTTGCTAACGTCATCTCTAGCCTTTCTCTTTATTTTGCCTATTTTTAAGTGATTTTGCTCCCTTTTTTTTTGGCTATTTTCGATCTTTCGGACTCACTAGTACGCTATGTTTTACTTGATTTTGCTTCTACAGTACTGTTTATATTTATTTAGTCCTACCATAATGTTATTATGGATCGCCATGATGCCTCCCGTCCAATTTCTATTATTCTTGATGGCTCCAATTATGTTCTGTGAGCCCAAGCCATGTCTTCCTTCCTAAAAGGTAGGAAAATCTGGCTTATTATCACCGGGGATGTGACCAAACTAGTGAAAGAGGCCACTGAAATTGTTGCTAAGTATGAAGACAGATTAGAAGATTGGGCCAATAAGAACTTCCAGATCATTACTTGGCTTCGGAATACCTCTATTACTTCTATTAGTCTTCAGTTTGGATGTTTGTAGCTTGACTCTGTTACCACTCCTACTCAAGATGTTTGGAATTTTTTGAAAGAACGTTACCAGACTACCAGTCTTGTCCATCAATATCAACTTCAGAGTTAGCTTCATTGCATGCGCAACACACTGGTCAATCTATTAATGACTTTGGGTTCGTTTGGTTTGTATTTCTGAAAAAATTTTGGGAAATTTTCTTTACAAATAAGTTTTTAAAAGTAATCAAACCAAACAAATTTTCCCAAAAAAATTTCTCAAAACTTGTAAACCAAACAAGTTTTCCAAACAAATCTCTCTCTCACACACATCAAATCAATCACTTTTTCCAAAACTCTCTCTCAAAATAATTTTCCAAAACATCTTTTGAAAAAAACCAAACCAAACAATTTTTCGTACTTTTTATCTCTAAAACACATCTCTCAAACACAAACCAAACATACCCTTTCTTTCTCAAATATATTCTGTTTAGGACCAACTGGTCAGTCTTGCCCCTCACACTGATGATGTTGCTTTATTTACTACATATCGTAATCAGCAGCGATTCGTTCAATTTCTCATGGCTCTCACTACGTATTTTGAGCCCGTGCGTACATCTCTCCTATATCGCACTCCCTTGCCCACTCTTGAGCAGGCTATTTCAGAGCTATTATCTTAGGAGACTCATCTCAGTACCCTCCAGACTCATCATGTAGATTATGTTCTTGCTAGTCCTCAGTCACGAACTTCTTCCATGTCGAGCCAGCGATCCACTGCCTGCATTTATTGTCAGAATCGGGGCCTTCCTTTTCCTCATCTTCTGGTTCATTACCTAGACAGACCCTATTGGTACTGCAACAAAATTGGTCCTGGTCATCTGCAGTAGGATTGTTTTCACTTACCCTCCCTCTCTACTTCCATCATGTTTACTAACCCTTCCATAGATCTCTTCTCTAATGAATTTGATACAGGTTCCTCATTTGTAGAGACGCCTTTGCTGACACTTGATCCTATCCAGACTGCTCTCCCTGATGGTCCACCTCTCATTGCACCATATAGCTCTTCTCCTACCTTCGAACCAGATCTTCCCACAGGTTTTCCTCATCAAGTAACTCAACCACCTATTCATCTTCGTGATTATATTGTCGGGTCTACTGCCTTTTCTACTTATGAACCTACCTCCTATCGTGAGGCTTGTACTAATCCGCTTTAATAGCAAGCTATAGCTGGTGAACTACATGCTTTAGCAAAAACTCATACTTGGGATATGCTTGATCTTCCTCCTGGAAAGACTGCGATTGGTTGCAAATGGGTATACAAAATCAAGACCCATTCTGATGGTTCTATTGAACGCTACAAAGCTTGTCTTGTTGCAAAGGGCTTCACCTAAGAATATGGCATTAATTATGAGGAGACCTTCACTCATATTGCTCGGTTTACCACTATTCGTAGCTTGATTGTTGTTGCTGCTGCTCACCACTGAGAGCTTTTTTAGATGGCTATCACAAATGCATTCCTTAATGGTGATCTTCTTGAGAAGGTCTACATGCAACCTCCCCCTGACTCTGCTTATTCGGCTCATAGGTTTGCCAACTATAGCATGCTCTCTATGGTCTCAAATAAGCCCCACGAGCTTGGTTTTCCAAGTTCAACTCTACCATTTATGACTTCAGCTTCACCTCCAACTCATATGATTCTGCTCTATTTGTTCGGACTACTACTCATGGCATCACTCTTCTTCTTCTTTACGTGGATGATATCATTATCACCGATGATGATGTGGTTAGTATTCTTAGCCTCAAACAATTTCTCAACCGTCAGTTTGAGATGAAGGACCTTGGTACTCTTAATTATTTCCTATGGCTTGAAATCTCTCATGATTCCACTAGTTATTATTTGTCACAAGCCAAATATGCATCCTATCTTTTGGCACATGCTAGTCTTACCGATTGCAAGACTACCTCTACTCCCGTTGATCCTCAGACTCGTCTCACTCCTCTAGATAGGGATCTTCTCTCTGATGCTACTCTTTAATGCTAGCTGGTAGGTAGTCTTGTCTATCTCATTGTGACTCGTTCTAACATTTCCTATGCTGTCCATCTTGTTAGTCAATCCATGTCTGCTCCCCACACCCCGCATTATACTATTTTACTTCGCATACTTCGCTATCTCAAAGGCACTATGTTCCATAGACTCCACTACTTTGCTCACTTTACTCTTGAGCTTCGTGCCTTTTCTAATGCTGTTTAGGCTAGGGATCCTACTGATCGATGCTCCACCACGAGTTTCTGTTTCTTCTTAGGGGATTCTCTTCTTACTTGGCGCAACAAGAAACAATCCCTCACTGCTCGCTCTAGTATTGAAGCTAAATACCACGCTCTTGCTAACACTACTCAGGAACTTTTGTGACTTCGCTGGCTCCTTCCTGATATGGGTGTTTCCTTCCCCTAGTGCTACCTCTCTCTATTGTGACAATCAAAGTGCCATTCAGATTGCGCACAATGACGTCTTCAATGATCGCACCAAACATATTGAGATTGATTGTCATTTCATTCAATAGCATGTTACGCGTGGCACTGTTCATCTTCTCCATATTTCTTCTACTGATCAACCTGCTGATATTTTCACCAAGGCTCATTCTTTTGGTTGTTTCAGTGATCTAGTTTTCAAATTCAAGTTGGTTAATACTTACCCGCCTTGAGTTTGAGGGGTGGCTGTTAATGTTAATGTATATTACCTTTAAATTTATTATTTGTATTAGATATATCCCATCTTTTCTCCTTCTATCTCTATCTCCTTGTATTTCTATCTTCTTCTATACTTATCTAGATTTCTTTTCAGCCTATATATAAAGACTTCTCTTATTGTATGTTATTCAATTTCAATATATATAAAATACACAACTTTTTCTCCTTTTCTCCCAACCATTGTAACAACACAATTCTCTGTAATTCTTTCTAGTTTATTCTTCACTAGTTCTCCCATCACAATTTTGTGAAGCCACGTGAATTTCATTTTTTTTTTTTTTAATTTTGGAAATAATGTTTTGTTAGTTAAATGAAAAGCCACCTCCTATATGAAATTTACTACAGGAATTACTTTAACATTCTTTTTTTCCTTTTTAGCAGGACAACAATGGGAATATTTAGCTGCAAGTTTCAAAACAGTGCAACCAAAATAAATAAAGCAAAGAAACCAACTAAAATTACTAGAATAAAACTAAGCCATGGCTAGTTGAAGATCAACAATATTTAAAGGGACATGTAGGTCTTGATAAATGACTATATTATCAAATAGATCCTATAATAATTAATATTTTCATCAAACACTAGTAAAAACTGTCACCAAAGGAAATCAGCTTTTTAGGGACAAATTTATTCCGTCCCTAAAAGTGTAATATTTGTTAGGAAAAACTTTAGCCAACAAATTTTCTCCGTCGCGAAATTTGTCCCAAATGGCCCTTTCGGAAAAACCAAAAATGACTTTTAGAGACAATTTTGCATTTGCTACTATAAATAGACTTTTAAAGACAAATATATATGATTGCAAAAAGTTTGATTTTGAGACAATCAAAATTTGTCTCTAAAAGTCTAATTACAGTCCAGGGCAAAAGAAGCAGTTATGGAGACAAAAATTAATTTTTGAGACAATACAAATTGGTCTCTAAAAGTCTTAGTTTTGGGGACAAATGAAAGTGGTGGCTAAACGTAAATTGAATCGAATCAAATTTTGTGAATCGAATCAAGAATCATTTAAGAATATTGACAGAAAATTAGCCCAAGATTACAAAGTTACCTATAGTCCATGTCTGACCACTTTTTGCACAAGAACCTCCACACCTCTTTTTCCATATTTTCAGGTGGATCTGCAAGGGCAGATTCCATTGTATGGAAACTTCTAAAGCGTAAGCATTATCATAGGTCATGGCGATAGTTCTTATATCGGTTGTGCATCAATTTGAGGATATATTCAATAGCATAGGGTTCATTGGTAAACTTAAAACCTTCATATCATACTGTATCAAACAAAAATTGAATAGGCACTGTTAAATTATGCACTGTTATGCACTGTTATATTGAATAGGCACACTATTAAATTATGCACTGTTATGCATTGTTATAATAAATAGGCACTGTTATATTAACAGAAAATGAGCCCGAGATTACAAAATTATACACTGTTAAACCATAACAAACAAAAATGAAACTTCTAGCAGAATGTACCACTTACTTGAAGGTATGCAATCAATGTTTCTTTATCCTCTTCGCTAATATCGGTCCACAATGGCACATTTTGTGAGGCAAATTTCCTAGTGACAAACCCTAATTCACTGGTAAATTTTTCAGATGCTTTACCATATGGTCGTCCACTAACCTTGCAAATCTGAATAGGCAGTCGCACCCCTTGATTTTTTAGCTTGGCTAATTTGAGGCTTCGTGACTTCCCATGTCCTCTCTTACCCTTGGATGTGCCTACTAGAAACAATGAAAAAGTATTATGTTAATATATGGATTGAAATAATGAGACCAACCAAAACAAAACATAAACTTAAAATATTTACAAACCATTAGTGTTGCAATGTGTGCTAGAAGTATCCGAGTGTGAACCTTGTGACGTAACTTCATGCACCGATTCTGATATAAATGGGTGTAGCGTAGATGATCGAACTGATTAAATACATACATAGGGTGCAGGTGTTGATTGAGTGGATAAGGGAACTGATTTAGTGGACGCATGGGGCCTAGGCGCATGGGGCCTAAGTACATACCTGCTCGTTCTTTGCCTCTTGTAGACATACATGTTTACATATGAATTTCAAACTCAACAAAAAATATACCCAGAAAAAGAAAATGGAAACAAACAACATTTGATCCAAAAAAAACATGTCATTTAAAAGCTCTGAGCCCCCCACAAAATACTGAATGACAGAGTATTGAATGTATAAGCTTAATCCCATCAATTCAAATGCCCATTTGTTCACTCAAACACAATGAGATGATCAGTGCAGTAACTGCAGCAACAATAGCAACAACAGCAGCAAAAGCAAGTATGTTCTCTATTAGTTTGTGTTCTAAGAATTAGAAAAACTAGAAAAACTATGTACCAGAACCCATTTAGACTTGTGACCAGAACCAGAACCCATTTAACCTAGAAAAACTATGATCTTCTTGTGATTGAAACTAATCCTACTCACGACACAATATAACTCTACTTAGTACTTACCATTGGATCTGACCTTGCTTACCACAAAATATAAGGTAGTCAAACTCAGATGCTACAAGGAAGCATAATCAAATTTTATTGCATATAATTCAATAACATATAATAAAGTAGTTATGCAAAACTGAGCTAGGGTCAAAAAATGATCTCATGCAGTAGTGCTTACACACTTATCAACTGTTCTTATGTCGTGCAGAGATGATGATATCAACTTCATACGTGGTTGCAGGCCCTTTCACATGAAATACAGATCCACCAGACAGAGAGAGTTCCTCCCTGAATGAGCTCCACAAAATCAGGAAACCAGTAAGTTTGTTTATTGTTTTCTAGCAATTGATCTTTCAGCTTCTCCACTGCACCAAATCTAAACATTTATGATCAAGATTCAGCTCAATAAGAATGAACCTGCTAATCAATCAAACAAGAAAAGCATGGAAACCAACAATAAAAGCATAAACACGATGAGTAAGACAACCTAAAAAACAAACAAAGAAAGGAAAGATAAGAAATAGATTTCCTAGTCTCTAATCAATCTTAAATCATATAGTCAGGTTCATCAAATCAAAAGTTACCAAATCAAGGTAAGGTTAACATAGAGATTAAATAAGTCAAAGAGCATAAAGAAGATATTTCCTAGTCTCTATTCTGCATAGTTTCCAAACGTGATTATTCATTGAATCTGACTATTGGATCACAAGCAACAACATGCCTCATATGGCATAAATTTTAGTTATAAAGTTTTTTTTAGTAGAGGAGGACAAGTTAGTTGCCAATGGTTCCAAGTAAACATGAAAATGGCAGTTGAGCCTCCACAAAATACTAAATGACAGAGTATTGAATGTGTAAGCTTAATCCCATCAATTCAAATGCTATCACACTCATTTCTGCATCAAAGATTTCACTGAAAGTTAAATCATATCATCATTGATTATCATTATCAATCATATCATCTTCATGATCACTATCATCATCAATCATATCATCATTGATTTCATCATCTTCAAGTTTCTCCTCACGGAATTCACCATCAATATCAACACATATCATTTCCATGTCTTCTTTGTATAATTCCATGGGTTGATCATCCATGTGCACTGCATTTCCAAGACCAAATTATTCAAGTTCTTGGTATGGTTCATCATTGTCTTTTTCTTCCTCTTCGTTTTTCTCTTCCTCTTCATCCCTTTTCACTAGAATGTCATATATTGCCCGAGGTATTATTCTTTGTACAACTCGATAATTGTTGCCAAATTTCATGTCCTTCATATAAAACACTCGTACAACTTGGCATGCTAGCACAAATAGTTCATCCTTGTACCAAGTTCTCATAACATTCACACTAACATATTTATAATCATCAAATTTCATTCCATTTTTTCATTGCCAACATCCCACCAATCACACTTAAAGAGGAACACCCGATTTCTCCCTAGATATTTCAACTCGACTATATCTCTAACAATTATGTCGTGCAGAGATGATGATATCAACTTCATACGTGGTTGCAGGCCCTTTCACATGAAATACAGATCCACCAGACAGAGAGAGTTCCTCCCTGAATGAGCTCCACAAAATCAGGAAACCAGTAAGTTTGTTTATTGTTTTCTAGCAATTGATCTTTCAGCTTCTCCACTGCAACAAACCTAAACATATATGATAAAGATTCAGCTCAATAAGAATGAACCTGCTAATCAATCAAACATGAAAAAGCATGGAAACCAACAATAAAAGCATAAACATGATGAGTAAGACAACCCAAAAAACAAACAAAGAAAGAAAAGATAAGAAATAGATTTCCTAGTCTCTAATCAATCTTGAATCATATAGTCAGGTTCATCAAATCAAAAGTTACCAAATCAAGGTAAGGTTAACATAGAGATTAAATAAGTCAAAGAGCATAAAGAAGAGATTTCCTAGTCTCTATTCTGCATAGTTTCCAAACGTGATTATTCATTGAATCTGACTATTGGATCACAAGCAACAACATGCCTCATATGGCATAAATTTTAGTTATAAAGTTTTTTTTAGTAGAGGAGGACAAGTTAGTTGCCAATGGTTCCAAGTAAACATGAAAATGGCAGTTGAGCCTCCACAAAATACTAAATGACAGAGTATTGAATGTGTAAGCTTAATCCCATCAATTCAAATGCTATCACACTCATTTCTGCATCAAAGATTTCACTGAAAGTTAAATCATATCATCATTGACTATCATTATCAATCATATCATCTTCATGATCACTATCATCATCAATCATATCATCATTGATTTCATCATCTTCAAGTTTCTCCTCATGGAATTCACCATCAATATCAACACATATCATTTCCATGTCTTCTTTGCATAATTCTATGGGTTGATCATCCATGTGCACTGCACTTCCAAGACCAAATTATTCAAACTCTTGGTATGGTTCATCATTGTCTTTTTCTTCCTCTTCATCCCTTTTCACTAGAATGTCATATATTGCCTGAGGTATTATTCTTTGTACAACTCGATAATTGTTGCCAAATTTCATGTCCTTCATATAAAACACTCGTACAACTTGGCATGCTAGCACAAATAGTTCATCCTTGTACCAAGTTCTCATAACATTCACACTAACATATTTATAATCATCAAATTTCATTCCATTTTTTTCATTGCCAACATCCCACCAATCACACTTAAAGAGGAACACCCGATTTCTCCCTAGATATTTCAACTTGACTATATCTCTAACAACTCCATAAAAATCAATAGCTTCTCCTTTATGGTCACCCTTAACAACCACACCACTATTTTGAGTTTTTCGGTTCATGTCACGATCTTGAGTGTGAAATCTGGTCCCATTGATAATGCAACCACTGTATCATGTCACTCGACTATTAGGACCTTGGGCTAGGTTCGTAAGTAAAGCATCCATGGTCCCTTCAAGTTGTTGCTTTGTGACCTAATTCCATTTATGATGTGAAATGTATTAGCATATACTTAACTACATTATTTAAATGCACAAATAAGGTTAAAAATTTATAGCTCTTACGTATTTTAGAAACCATGTATGGAAACTCTGATTCTAGCCTCTCTTGAACATTCCTCAAACCTTGTCTCTCAAGTTCATCCATGTATTGCCTATAAATTATTACGCAACATTATTTGACACATATAGTTGTGAAAGTAGTAGAATTCAAAAAGAAAAATTTTCTAGTGAATATAATCATATAGTGGTTTACTTACCTCACATACGGTTGAACTTCATCACAATTATTCAACACGTACCATCGAGCTTTCTTCAAATCTTTTAAATTCAACACATCATTAACTGCAGCTCCTATTCCACGTACTTTTTGCTTAAATACAAAAATATTTCCATCTTGTATAGCTTTAATAGGCCCGTCATAATTCCGCTATGGTCTATTAAATTTTGTCTCACCTTCATTGAAGTATATAGAGCAAAAGGTAAGAGCCTCATTATCAATGTAACCTTCAGCAATAGAGCCTTCTAGATGGGCTTTGTTACGCACATAGCCCTTAAGAATATACATGTACCTCTCAAATGCATACATCCACTGGTATTGCACCAAACCTGCAAGGATTGCTTCACATGATAAGTGTACGAATAAATGGATCATAATATCGAAAAAAAGATGGTGGAAATATCTTCTCAAGCTTGCACAATATTAAAACAATATCTTTCTCAAGTTGTTCTAAGACATCAACTCTTAATGTTTTTGCCGATAACTCCTTAAAGAACAAGCAAAGCTCAATTAAAGCCTTGCTCATATCCTTTTTCAAACATTCACATAGGGCAACAGGAAACAATATTTGCAAGATAGCATGGCAATCATGGCTCCTCAACCCTGTAATTCGACGATCACTAGTGCCACACAATGTGATATGTTTGATGCATAACCATCTAGCAACTTAATTGTACTCAAGAATTCACAAAAACTCCTTTTCTCAGTTGGAGAGAGCATGAAGCAAGGAGTGGGTAGGAAATTTTTTCCATCTACTTGCCTTGGGTGTAATTCAGGCCTTATACCTATAGCCACTAGATCAAGACGAGCCTTGTATGAGTCCTTGGTTTTTCCATCAACGTTCATCAATGTTCCCATCACACTATCACATACATTCTTTTCAATGTGCATAACATCAAGGTTGTGGCGAACTTTGAGGGTTTTCCAATAAGGTAACTCAAAAAAGATGCTTCTCCTTGTCCAATTTAAATATTGAGGAGAACGTTTTCGCTTCTTCCCACGTTCATCTATCTTCCCAAATACTGTCGAGTCAAGATGCTCCAATTATCCCAAAACCTACTCCCCAGACAACTAGGGTTCTAATCTACGCTCTGGCTCACCATTGAATGCCTTGCTTTTTAGTAAAACATGATTATGCTGCAAAAAACGACGATGTCCCGTGTAACAAGTTTTCTTCCAATGATGCAAGTATTAGTGAGATGCATCCTCATTACATGAAAGACAAGCCAATTTCCTTTTGGTGCTCCAACCGGATAGGTTACCATATGCAGGGAAATCGTTGATGGTCCATAACAATGCGACACATAATTGAAAATTTTGGCCATTTGATACATCGTATGTCTCTACCCCTACCACCCATAACTCCTTTAACTCAACTATCAATGGCCATAAAAACACATCAATGTCAAACCCGGGAACCCTACGCCGAGGAATAAGCAAAGGCATTATAAAAAATGGATCCTTCATACATTTCCATGGTGGTAAATTGTATGGGACAAGAAAAATCGACCATATGCTATATGAGTTACTTATGTTTCCAAACGAATTAAAACCGTCACTAGCTAGTCCGAGCCTAACGTTACGAGGATCTTTGGCGAATGACTTATGCTTTTTGTCAAAGTCTTTCCACGCTTCAGAGTCAACCAGATGACGCAATACATTTTCCTCCTCTACATGTTTATCCTTGTGCCGCTTCATATCAGTAGTCGTCTTCCTTGATATGAATAGCCTTTGTAGCCTTGGTTTTAAAGGAAAGTATCGCAGAACCTTCTGAGGGATCTTTTTACCTTTACATTCACCTTTACGAACTTTGTATCTTTGCGCTTTGCAAGTTGAACACTCATCTTTATTTTCATACTCCCTTCAAAAAAGTAGACAATCGTTCTTGCATGCATGTATTTTTTGATAGTCAAGGCCCAAATTTCGAATTATTTGTTTAGCCTCATTGTAAGAGCACGAAAGCGTTTCATCAATGGGAAGTGCCTCCTTCAACAATTCCAGCAACATCGTGAGTGATTTGTTTCTCCATCTATTAAATATCTTTAGATGTAGCAACTTAACCATGAATGATAGTTTGGAGAATCGTTGGCAAGCCAGATACAAATCTTGCCCCGCATCCCTCATTAATCTTGCAAATTTATTTGTTTCTCCACCATAACTACTAGGTAAGTCAGGATTACGACTGCTAGATGCTTCTCCCACATAACCAAATGCGGTTGTTTCACTTCATATGTCATGAATAACTTCTCACACCTCAATATTGGGGCTATTTGACTTCTCTGTCACATTGTCGAGATATTTGTCATTTTCATTTTGTGAGTCATCATTGTTATTCAACTCAAAACCTTTCCCGTGATACACCCACCTAGTGTAACTCGTGACCACCTCATATGCATACTATGGTTGTTACATCTATAACATGGACACCAAATCTTATCTGACCCTAGTTTCATATGACCACGAGCAAACAAGATAAATTCCCTCACCCCATCAATGTACTAAGGTGACCTTCTATTATGAAGTTGCATCCAACTCCTATCCGCGCAAAAGAACTTAAAAATAAATAAATAAAATAAATAAAAATAAATAGGGCAAAAGCTTAAAAATTACGACATACTAAAAATAGGAAATATGATGCTAGAATTTTCGACTCTAATAAAACAAGCGAATCAAAATAAATTTAACAATGCAATCAATCGAATTGGCATCTACATTTCCAAATAACACAAATATAATCAAATCAAACAATGTGGTAAGTAAAGCCTTTCTATGTACCAGAGTACTACAGTGTGAAGGCAGTGTATCTAAGCATGAGCCATGGTTGTAAATGCATAAAATAAATTAATGATTACTATAGCATTCCAAGGGCTGTGGAACAGAACTATAGGTGATCTGAACTTCTACAAGTTCAATGGAGTCTCCAATGTATTTCCTGAAGTTAAAAATTATTTTGCCTTTACATTTGTATCTTGATTCACAGAGAAAACCTGTGTTTCCCCTATGTTCTTGCTTTTCCACCTACATAAAAAAGAAGTGCCTGCTTTTCGACCCACTAAAAATCTGTATGAATTGCATGGAGGTCTTATTTTTAAAAATTTCAACTAAAAATTATAGAATTTGGCCTAATTCTTTTCAATTTTGAGAATTGTAATTTGCATTTCAAATCATGAAATAAATTGGACTTTGAGAAAACTATTGTTGAAATTGAAATTGCGAAGTGAAAGACTTCACCTAGAATGAATCCCTCAAGGGATTAAAAAAAAAAAATCATCAATTGCAGCAAAATTATTTGACAACAAGAGAAATAATTCACTGAGATTCTCTGCGAGAGAGGCGTCTCTCGAGTTTACCATTATTGGAGATTTGCTTAAACCAGTGAGACTTTTTCATGGATCAAAACAACTAATAGTACTTAACAGAATCATCAAATCTCAGCCCCAAAATTAATACTACATTTCTGCGATCGTGTATTTGACCCAGCACATCATAAATCAGCACGACGAAGTGAAATCATTAACATAAACAATACACTGATAAATAAGCATTTTCAAAGAATAAATGCGAACAATAGATCAAGAATCAAATCTATGAGACTGAAATCGATTAATCGATCGAACCTGGATGCTGAAATCATAGTGGAGAGAGATGCTATGAGACTCCTTGGGGATGAAATTGTTGTCGAGATTAGAAGCAATCAACGAGATTCGTAGAGAAGAACGATTGCATTTGCAAGAGAAAAAGAAATTGGGGATTTCAGAGAGAGAGAGAGATGAAATAGAACCTGGATCCTTCTTTTTTTTTTTAGAAAATCCCGACTATTGAGCTCAAAAATCAATATATAAAACTTTTTCATGGATCAAAACAACTAATAGTACTTAACAGAATCATCAAATCTCAGCCCCAAAATTAATACTACATTTCTGCGATCGTGTATTTGACCCAGCACATCATAAATCAGCACGACGAAGTGAAATCATTAACATAAACAATACACTGATAAATAAGCATTTTCAAAGAATAAATGCGAACAATAGATCAAGAATCAAATCTATGAGACTGAAATCGATTAATCGATCGAACCTGGATGCTGAAATCATAGTGGAGAGAGATGCTATGAGACTCCTTGGGGATGAAATTGTTGTCGAGATTAGAAGCAATCAACGAGATTCGTAGAGAAGAACCATTGCATTTGCGAGAGAAAAAGAAATTGGGGATTTCAGAGAGAGAGAGAGAGTGATGAAATAGAACCTGGATCCTTCTTCTTTTTTAAGATAATCCCGACTATTGAGCTCAAAAATCAATATGTAAAATAAAACAATGCATGATTTGGGTTTATTAGGGATAAAATTGGAAGTATAAGTGACTGAATTTTTTTTTTTTTTTTTTTTTTTTTTTACTCTCATTGTCCTTCACGTGTATGTAAGGGTGTTGGGGGTCAACTAAATAAACTTGTCTAAAAAATGTAATAACATGATTAAATCTATATATTTTTTAAATTCTTTCATTTTGTCCTTAAAAGTATAATTTTTGTAAATTATTTTTGTCCCTAAAAATTTGTCTCTAAAATCTTAATTTCTTGAAGTGCTAATTGGTAATTTTTAGCAACAATTTAAAATTGTCACAAAAATATCACTAATTATAAATTTTAACGACAATTTTAAAAAATCATCACAAAAAAATCTACTAATTTGTAACTTTCAACGTCTATTTAAAAAATTCATCACACAAAAACGTCATTAATTGTAAATTTTAATAACAATTCATAAAATTTGTAATAAAAAAATTACTAATTGCCAATTTTTAGTAATATGCAAAAAATCATCACAAAAAATTATTATTAACGATGATTTTATTAAAACTTATTTTAACAAAATTTGATAGGAATTAAATCGAATTATTAAAATCTATTAATAATTTGACTTGATGAGAATTTAATCAAACTAATAACCCCTATTGATATGGTTTGCCCATATTTTTAAAAGCTGTTTTTTCATTTTTCAATTTGACCCAGCTTGCGTTTCTTCGCTTAACCCACCAAGTTTCATCCATAATCAATAGTACTATGTTCATATTATTCCGATCTTATTTTCTCTTTACTATAAGAAACAAATAAAAATCACATTGACTTGACAAGTAATTATTTAGTAAGTCGGCATCATAAAAGCAAAGAAAATTTTATTATTGGCCAATAAAAATTTATCATAACACGTTTAACCTTGGCATGTACTAGCATTCATTTCAATGCTAGAAGCTAGTGGCAATACATGAGGTAGAGTCTTGTTGCATTTCTCCCTGTTTTACGCTATCAGCAACATGAGCGATTACTCCTGCTCCAGAATTATGAAGCCATTCATTTTTCACCTGTTTCGAATAATAAAAAAAAAATTAGGAAATTCAAAATAAAGAAACCAAGAACACAAATGAAGCAAACAATGAAATTTTGACTACATTACATGAATATAGTTATGGGCAAAGAAGGGCAAGAATGCCGAGTGAAAGCTGACATCAACTTTTTTCCATCCTAATTGTTGTAAGCCACGTATCATTTCCTCTGTTAATGAATTGAAAACCGTTATTACCGTTTGTGACAGGAACCGATTGAACTACAGTCCGAGTTTTGGTACGGGTATTTACCTTCCATAATTTCATGATAATCCACTGCATTCACTGGGCTGGGTGCAATTTGTGCTGCTTCCGGAGGAAAATGAGTACCCTCAGACAAATTTGGTGGACAGTACTGAACATCCACAACATGCTTGTAACCGTCCAGAGATTGACGAGGAGGCTGCCAATTTTTGTAGGAAACATCAGAATGGTACAAGAACTTCATAGCATACTGCCAACTTGAAGTTTATTTGATTTAGGTTTGTTCCAATTCAAGAAACACTATTGTCACATACACACCTAAGGTCAATACTCGTATTTCTATCAATGCAGATGCATGCCATGTACTCAATTCCTAGAGTACGTAATGAAAAAAAAAGTTTTTCTTATTAAACACACTATCCCACTGCCCCTCAACACCAAAATATAAATTAAATTAATTAAAATCTAATCAAAAAGGGTCAGATGAAACCAACAGAAAGGGAACCTTGACAGCAATCTATAAGGGCCAAGCAATTAGAATTTGCCAATCCAGTCACAAAAGTTTATTATGTAAGCTCAGAGAAAGAAATGGGGAAAGAGACAATCTCATAAGAAGCTAATAGGTGTGAATGGACTATAAACTGTACAGCATGGTCATGAATAATAGTTCTGATATAACCATAAACTATCTATTCATTCATTGCTCAGTGGCTAGGGAGATTTCGATGATGATCCCAAGCAAATTTAGGGTCCAATGAGTCTTCTCAGAAAGTGTGGTAGATCTTATGTTTGGTCGGAAGTTAAGAACAATGGGTAAAAGAAGAAAGAAGGCTTGGCTTTTGGCATTGTTGAGCTTGATATGGATCGTTTCAGGTGAGTGCAACCAAAGGAACTGTTGAGTAAGTGGAGCAACCCTTTTACACTAAAAAGTAATTTTTTGTTTATTTTTTATAGTTGGTTATTGGGGAATGTCATCTCTTGATCAATTTTTAGATTTTGTAGGCATATGAGGTAAAAGTTTCTATATATTCTGTTATTTTTTCCTTTTGTTTTTTCTTTTTTTCTGAATTGGATCTTTGGATTTCAGTCGATTTTTTTGGGTACTTTGGTAATTTCTTGTTGCTTCCGCGTTGCCCTAATTCTATACTTATAAATAGATAAAAAGCTCTTTTCTGCAAGAGAGTTGTATTGTTTTTTGATCATAGTAAAAACCACAGCAATCGTGAACGAAACTCTATTCTGGGGAACCACTTAAATCCTTGTATTTGTGTGTGTGTGATTTCTTTGATTTGTTTTATCTTTCTTGTTCGTTATTTCGTGTCTCACCAATCCTGATTAGGAAGAGTCAACTCCTAACATTTTTGTTCAATATTTGTATATGGGTGGCATCCCCTTGATGCCTTGTTAATAAAATTTTAAAATAAAATAAAATACAAGGATGAATTCCATGTCATGTAGCTTACTAAATTATTTAAAGATTGACCTTCTTAACTTACTCCACACTTCTTGAACCTTTTACAGTACTCCTAAATCTAATACTGCACATGGAGACTTGAAAAAATAAATAAATACGGTTCTTAAAAAAACCGTACGAGGAAATAAACTCAAGTTCTATAAGATCCACTTAAAATATCAAATAATGAAAACAAAGCTAAAGAAATTAAGCAAACTAAACCCTTTCAGATAGCTCAGAGCAGTTGGATGTCACCACTTAACTTCAAAACTATTAAAATATAAGGTAAATTACAAATAGATTTGCTTAAAATACGAAGTTTGGGAATTACAAATATCCTCTTGTTAGAATTTTTTATTTAACAAAATTAAAAGAAAAAATAAGGGTATGTTTGGTTTGTGTTTTGAGATAAATTTTCAAAAAAAAATTTGGGGAGAGTATAGAAATTTTTTTAGTTTGTTTGCTTGTATATTTTGAAAATAGTTTTGGAGTTTGAGAGTTTGGGATAATTTGATGTTTTGTTGTAGCTGAGTAGATGTGTGTGAGAGAAAAAATGATTAATTGATGTGTAATAGAGAGAGTACTTTTAGAATTTTTTTGAGAAAATTTGTAACCAAACATGTTTTTAAAATTTTCTTCCAAAAACATGTTTCAAAACACAAACAAACATACCCTAAAACTCCTAGCTACTCTCTTATACAACAATAAAATTACCAAAATTGTTTATTGAATTGAAATATATTTTTGACATTGTTAAAAATTGTTAATTGACTAAATGATTTATTAATAAAAGCGGTCATTTGTTATGCGATTAGAAATTTGAAGGGCATAATGTACTTTCTAGAACCACAGGGGGAATATTTGTAATTAACCCTAAAATATATAAGAAAAAAAGAAAAAAGAAAAAGAGAGCAAGGATTATAGAAAATGTTATAATACATGTATTGAATGATATTCAAGTGAATCAGCTGTTAAAGTTTCCATCAAGTATACACTCAACACCACAAACTATGCAGCGAACATAACAAAATGCAACAATGGACTCTAATCAGAAGTGTATGTAAACATAGATATGTGACTATTATTTATTATATTCAGCACCACAGACCTGGACCTTAAAGTTGGTCATTGGATGGAAGTTACACCATCACTATTTAGTCTTCTTATTTAATCTCTAATTGGATGCTAACATCTAAAATACCTGGTGAATTTTAGTCAGCAGCATGTAAATCAGTTTAGGAGAAGAGAGACCACTAAATTACCTTGAAGAGTTCTGTCTCCCTTCTGATAGAGGATGTACGCCAACCAACCATATCTGAATAGTGTCAAGGAAGGAAGAAAATCTGATTCGTTGAGAACAGAAAAGGCCTAAAATAGAAAAACAAAGCATCCCACTTTGTTGCAGCAATAAAACATTAATATGCAGGAGGATACGGTCAAAAGAGACATTCGCATAAATAATACGGCATCTAAATGCACCAAGAGCTGACCTGCCACATAACAGAAGTATACAAGAAGCTTAAGAATGGTGTTTAAAAATATATCCGTATCATTAAAAAGACAACCAAAAAAAAATTTACTTACATAAATTTTCCATCTTCACAATCCGATGCCATTCTTAATACAAGAGGTGGCTTGTTGGGTTCACCATCAGTGAGGAATAACTGGCTACCAGTTCGGCCAACAAAAATGGAAGCGATTGATGGAGCAAGCTTTTCTAAGATCGGAACGCCCAAAAGAAATGGAAGCTGAATCAAAATAAATGAATCAACTGTCTGGAGGTCAGGTTCCACTAGTCTAACCACTAGCCACCACCAATGATAAACTCTTCATTATTTTTTCAAAATTCAAGATCAAAATGAGCAAAAAGAAAGATAAAAAGCAGAGTTCATGCAGTATCAATGAAAAATTAAAACAATAAACTAGTTCATTAAGAAGTCATCATAGAATAACATATGTAAATGACAGCCATGAGAGATGAAAATGTAGATGCTTGATTCCTTGAAATAATTCTGTTGGGTTCTGTAATAAATATAAGGCAAATAAGATAGAGGATCCAAGTTACAGTTATCGTGAAAGAATCCCAAGACTTGTTTTCAATAAAATTGCATGAACCAATACATTTTATTTTGTGATTGTATCAAATACCAAACTTGAAGCTGAAGACTTCAAACAATCAAATCTTTAAACCACTTGATAAAGAGCACGTTAAGTAGAAAAGAAACAAATTGGAAATTTTACATGAAACCCTCTTGTGACCTTGCTTAATCAATCCCAGATGAGAGTTTAGTTTTGCGGATTTTAGATTATGTTTTGCAATGAATCTAACAGAAAGCCGAGAAGCACGGTCACTTCTACAGAAGAAGCGTGTCATGCCCAACAACCGCCCAACAACCATGTCCGACATCGAAACTCTTCAGACACTCCTAAAAGCATGTCTGACACCTCTTCAACATGTCTTAACTAAAACATCAATTCATAATATTGAACACTTTATCGACACTTCATTACATTTCAGTGACTCTTCTTGAATCATGCGAACACAGCCTATATGATGAATCCCTTCAAAATAACATTGTTATGCGTTCTTGTAAGATAAATTGATAGAGAGAGAATTACAGAGAGAATAAATTGTATGTATTAAGATAGATGTATTGAATGTTGTATTGAATGTACATTATATAGGAGATGTAAAGTGGAGATGGAGTGGTGGAGTAGGTGAAGTGGAGGTGGTAGTGGTGTAGTGGGTTAGGTTTAGTGGAGTAGGTGAGATGGTAGTGGTGTAGTGGGTTAGGTTTAGTGGAGTAGGTGAGATGGTAGTGGTGTAGTGGGTTAGGTTTAGTGGAGTAGGTGAGATGGTAGTGGTGTAGTGGGTTAGGTTTAGTGGAGTAGGTGAGATGGTAGTGGTGTAGTGGGTTAGGTTTAGTGGAGTAGGTGAGATGGTAGTGGTGTAGTGGGTTAGGTTTAGTGGAGTAGGTGAGATGGTAGTGGTGTAGTGGGTTAGGTTTAGTGGAGTAGGTGAGATGGTAGTGGTGTAGTGGGTTAGGTTTAGTGGAGTAGGTGAGATGGTAGTGGTGTAGTGGGTTAGGTTTAGTGGAGTAGGTGAGATGGTAGTGGTGTAGTGGGTTAGGTTTAGTGGAGTAGGTGAGATGGTAGTGGTGTAGTGGGTTAGGTTTAGTGGAGTAGGTGAGATGGTAGTGGTGTAGTGGGTTAGGTTTAGTGGAGTAGGTGAGATGGTAGTGGTGTAGTGGGTTAGGTTTAGTGGAGTAGGTGAGATGGACTTAGGGAGTGCGCCATGAGCGACTTATACATGATACTGTGTATAACCCCCCCTCAAACTCAAATAGGTGTGAAGATAGAAACTTATTTAAGGTTGAAACAAAGGGATTGATAAAGCTGACCGGTGTAGAAGACACTGTATGAGTGTGTATATAGGCTGCCCAAAAAATATACATGGATATAGATATCGAGCCCTCAAAAGTCGTGCCCTCAAAAGGTGTGCCCGCACCCTCAAAAGGCGTGCCATGAAAAGGCGTGCCAGAATTAATTGTGTGAAAAGTTCTGTTTGGTGACAAAATAACTGTTCCTAGTAAAAATTTATAAAAGAATATATATCTCAAAAATAAATAAATTCCTTAAAACATAAAATCAACATGTTATAAACAAAGGTTTCAAGAAAAGATCACCAAGTACTTGCTCTAATCCCGGCGCTCAAAATCAGGTTACAAGAAAGTGGGAGATATACCAATGGAAACAGACCATCATTACAAATATCATTGAATGAATAGTGATTAGTTCTCTATACTAATCGAAATAGATTACCATTACGTTAGTTGTCGTTAGGCAAAACAATTTATGCTACTTTTTATACATTTTCATCTTGTGAGATAAGTACTCCACATTCTATAAGTATCGGGATGAGGAGACGAATTTTCTTAAAGAACACAGTGGTCAAACCACCTGACTTTGATCAATATTATATTAGAAAAAATTAATCAAGTAAGTTGTTTAATTTAATTGATTTTTTTAGGTTTTATTAAATCAAATGTTAATTGTTGTTAACAAAATTAAAATCGTGTTTTTATTATTTATTTCTAGGATTTTGTATCAAACAAATTCTTTTCATTCCTTATTCTTATATTCTTGTTCATGTTTAGTATACAACCGAATTTAACTATTTAAATACAGTTAAAGATTCCAACATTATTAGTAATTCTATTGTATACAAATTACTTTGACTCATTACACCAATTTTCTCCATTACACTCATTAAAAAATTTAAAATTTAATTTCTCTTTACACTCTCTTCAATGCTACCAAATAATCCTTATCCTTAACGTTTTACTTTTCTCTCATTTACACCCATCCCTTTCCCCTCATCTTCTTCCATTCATTTTCTTCTTCCTTCACCATCTCTAGTTCCATTTCTACTCTATCCTACACCACCCCTAATCTTTCCCAACCGGTGACCACAATCTAACCACACACCACTTGGACACACTCTGTCCAACAACACGACGACAAACAACTATTTTCAAAGATTGTTTAAATTTTTTTTTTTTTTATACTAAACTTTATAACCATCCCTGACCACAC